GGGGGGAGGGGGCGCGGGCTCCGCGTGCAGAGCCGCGAAGTGGCGGCGGGCGGGGGCAGTTCTGGGCCCAGATGGGCAAGGTCAACGAGCACTGGCGAGTATAAAGCCCTAGGACACACACACACACACACACACACACAGGAAGAGAGAGAGACACACACACACACATCCTCACATACGCACACACACACACACGCACACACGCACACACACACACGTGCAGACGGGTGTCGCCTGGCTGCCCAAACGCGCCGCGCCGCGCCGCGCCGCGCCTCACCGTGCGAGCGTGACGGGGTTGATGCCAAAGTGTGAGACCAGCTCCTCCCGCTGAAACAGGAAGAAGCCCAGGGTCGACAGGGGGTGGCCCTGTTTTGGAGGGAACGATGGGTTGGATCGTTTCGAATTCTTTTGAATTTTCAGAGTTTGGCGTGAGCCTCAAGGGGCCGGGGCGAGCTGGGCGTCAGCCGGCAGCAGCCAGGGGGGTCAGCAGGCAGCCGGCCGTAGCGGCTTGGTTTCTAGGACGGGGGTGCGGAGGTTTGCTTGGGGGCTTGCGCCTTGAGGGGGCGTTTCAGGGGCGTGCAGGGCGGGAGGGGAGGGGAGGGGCGTGGGAGTGCAGGGACGGCGGCCAAAAAGGACGCTCCGGGAGGACTGCCAACGCGAGGGGGCCGCCTGAGGGGTTTATGTGTGGGACCGGGACGCGGCCGCGCCGTGCGCACCTGCGTAGCCTCCGCCAGCGCAAACGCGTCAAACTGCCACTCATGGGACGCGGCCAGCACGCGCTCAACGCGGTCCAGCACCGCCGGCCCCGGCCCCGCGGCCGCCGCGGCGGCCTGCAGGGCGTCGACGTCCTCGCCGTCCGCGAGCGCGACCGCCGTCGTGCTGCCGCGGCGGCCGGCGGAGGCGCCGGACTTGCGGCGGACGGCGGCGCCGTGGAGCAGGGCGGACGCGCGGGTGGCGGAGCCTTTGTGATGGTGGCGGGGGAGGGGGAGGTTGGGCGGTGGGGATGCTTTCAGAGCCGGGCGCGCGACAGCCACGCCGACGCGCGCCTGATCGAATCGCAGGGGGCTTAACATCGGGTAGCTGGAGGAGGCGACAGGCGCTGGCGGCGGGGGCGACGTCCAGGGCCGGGTGGGGGGCGACCTCCCCACCCCCTCCCCCGCAGCACACCCTCCAAATCTCTAAAGAACATGTTCACACGACCAACACACACACACACACGCGCACGCGCGCGCACGCACACACACACACACACACACACGCGCGCGCGCGCGCACACACACTGTCAGCACCTCCGCACGCAATGAAACGCGCACAACGCGCGCACACGCACACACCTGCGGACGCCGCATCCGCCGCCAGGTCGTGGCCGCTGAGCGGCCGCCCGATGCTGCGGGCCGTGGGCGCGGATATGATCGCCGCCAGCGCGGTCGACAGGCTGCCAAACTCCGCCGCCTCCGCCGCCGCCGCCGCCGCCGCCAGCGCCGCGTCGTCGCCGCTGACGCTGCCGCTCGTGCTGCCGTTGCTGCGGGACGCGCAGCGCGGGGGGCGGGAGGTGCGTCGGGGTGCCTCGTGAGACGGCGCTGCAAGAAGACGCGCGGCTCACGCCAAAGCAGGCATCTGCAAGCAGGCCGGCCGCGCGGACCGTCTGCGCACTCCGATCCAAACAAAAAAGTGCATCATCATGAACAAGTTCATTAGACGTGCTTTGACGCCATTCAAAACCATGAAGTTTGAATCGAAGCCCTGCGCGGCGTCCGGGCAGGCAGGCGGTCCAAGGCGCCGCTCTCACCGCGAGCGCTTGTCCCGCCGCTCGCAGAGCTCCCGCAGGCTCAGCGACACGCCGTCGCCGTCCTCGCCCTGCGGAGCGGGGGCGCCGGCGGGGCCGCGGGCGCAGGGGGCGCGGCGTCGGATTGAGGGGGGGAAGGGTGACGGTCGGGGCTGCTGGGGCTGCTCTGGCCGGGGCCCGCGGCCGCCTCCAGGACAGGGACCGCGCACACTGCAGCCGGGGCAGCCAATTGCGCGATGGGGTTTTCCGCGCCCCTAACAATGACAATACACGGCATCGCCCTCGGCCGCCGCAACTTGCTCCCTCTCCTGCATAAGCTTCACCCCTCAATCACTTGGCATCTTCGAGCAAACCCAAGGCCCATCCACCCCCACACAGCCCATCCCATGGGCGCCCACCTGCGCGGCGTTCCTGTCCCGCAGGATGGAGTCCGCGTCCCCCAGCAGGTGTATGAGGTTCAGCCCGACATCGTTGCCAAGCGCGGACGCCTCCATCAGCTGCTTGCCCAGCCGGAACGGCTGGTAGATGTCGCGCGCCTGCGGCGGTCAAACGGCGGTCAAACGGCGGTCAAACGCGCGCCAGACATTGTAAGGGTGTCGCATTCCATGCGTCTCAAGGCGTCCGGGCTGCCGCTGCCACCGCCGGCGCGCGAGAAAGGCGGCACCTCGGCCGACGGGGGAGGCGGCCCCGGCCGTGGGCGCCCCGGGCGCGGCGCGCCGCGCCGCGCACCTCCAGGATCGTGGACTGGATCAGCAGGATGTCCTGGAGGTTGGGCAGGGACCCGTCCAGCAGCTCCGTCATCATCGCCAGCAGCTTGTCCGCAGGTGTGCCTGCGGCGGCGGCGGCGGCGGCAGCGGCAGGGGGTACGTGTTTCGCGGCGCGGTGACAGAGCCGGGGGGTTCAGGGGCGGCCGGGGGCCAAACAATTGGGGGTTGCGAGGGGCGTCGCAAACTGGCGTTTCCCGTGTGCGTTGTCGAACCTCCCGGGGGGAGGGGGCCTGATGATTGGGTGCGGTTGCGCCCGCAAAGGGCCGCTCAGGGTCGAGGCCGGCGCGCGTGTGGGCCGCGGCTGCGCCAATCGTGGGTTCCGCACAGCTTGGGGGCGGAGGGGGCGCGAGAGGTGAAGGGGGGCAGGCCGCGCACCCGAGTCGATGGTGGCCTTGGGCTGGTAGCTGCCCAGCGCCATGGACAGCTCCGCCTGCAGCACCTCCTGCGCGCGCAGCAGCTGCTCGTGCTGGTCCTGCGCGTTCGAATCCGGGATGGCGACAGATGGGCGCGTGAGGGACACGACGCGCCACCCAAACAAGCCGCAGACAAACCCAGCGAGGCGGCCGTCAGCGCGGCGGAACGCAACAAACCCCGCCGCCCGCAGCCCCGAGGCCCCAGCCGCACGCGCCTGCAGGCTGGTGAGCGCCTCGCGCTCCCGCAGCAGCGCCTCGTGCGCGCTGCTCATGTCCTCTGCCATGCGCGTCATGTCCATGGCCGCCTTGTCGGCCGCGGCCTTGTGGCGCTCAGCCGCCTCCGCGGCCTCCTCATGCTGTCGCTGGAGCTCCTGAGGGCGTGGGGTGCAAGGGGTCCAAAATTTGGGGTTCAGGGTTTGGAGTTCAGGATGTGAGGGCTGGCGGCCGCGCGGAGGCGGTGCGCCCCAGGGACTGCAACGGGGCGGGTTCCAGAGGGGGCGTGTCGTCAGAGCGCGCGACGGCGCCGCAATCACAGGGGCTTCGCAAAAGGGTTCCGCCGAGCGGCGCTGGGGGGGGGGGGCGCAGGAGCCCACCTCCTCCCTCTCGTCGAACTCAGCCTTCTGATCCGCGTTGTCGGCAAGGGCCTTATCAAAGCCGGCCTTGAACTCGGCCGCGTCCACCGTGAGCTTCTCCAGCTGCGGGGGCGGAGGGCGCCGGGAGCGTTTGTGTGCGCGTGCGCGGCGGAGGCGGAAGCGCTGAGCTTACATGGGACCAGGCGGCTCCGATCGCTTGCTCGTCCGCGCCGCGGGTGCTGCGAGGCGCCGGGCAATGCTGAGGCGCGGGTGCTGGCTCAGCCGCCGGGGGACAGGCGAGGCCGAGAGGGCGCCGCACCTGCGCCTGCTGCTCGACCGCGTCCGCCGTGGCCTTGTCGAACCCGGCCTTGAACTCTGCCGCGTCGGCCGTCATCTTGTCAAAGCCGGCCTTGAACTCCGCCGCGTCCGCGGTGGCCTTGTCCAGCTGCGGCGGCGGTGGCGGCCGCGCGGGCGCGGGGGGGCGGGAGGCGCGCGGGTTTGCGGCGGCGACGGCGGACGGGCAAGAGGGGCGAGGAGGGGTGCGCCGCTGACCAGGGCCGGGCATCCCCCCAATTGCAGAGGCTGTACCGGCCTGAAAGCTCTTTGTCGTGTTGATGCAGCACCATCAAATTTTAAACAAAACTTCCCCTCACCTGCGCCTTCTGTTCGACGGAGTCAACCACCATCTTGTCAAAGCCGGCCTTGAACTCGGCCGCGTCAGCAGTGGCCTTGTCCAGCTGCAGGGGATTTTGGCCAAGCGGCGCGCGCGTCGCAAGTTGCACGTCAGGGCTGGAATGGGACGAATGAATGGGATGCAGCACCACGCAAGCAGCGCGCATGAGGCTGCGTCGGGACACGCTCTAACCACCCGGTCACCAACACATCTACACGCCAAATTTGCCACAGCAAAGTGCATGCCCACGGCCACGCACGTGCACGCCCACATCACACAGCCCTGCGGCTCACAGGACAGTGCCACCCATATCGCATGCGCAGCTCCCAAACAACGCATGCAGCCACTCATGACGCGACCTGCTTCGCACCCCGCGCACCCCGCAGCCTGCACCGCAGCCCGTGCACCACACAACACGCACAGCGCGCACAGCACAGGGCCACGGCCTCGTGTCCGCGCCAGTCAACCCCCACCCACCTGGTTCTTCTGTTCGTAATTGTCCTCCACCAGCTTATCAAAACCGGCCTTGAACTCTGCCGCGTCCGCCGTCATCTTGTCAAAGCCGGCCTTGAACTCGGCGGCATCGGCGGTGGCCTTGTCCAGCTGCGGCGCGAGCGAGGCGGCACGCGTGATCCCGTGTGAGCGTGTGTGGAGAGGAGGAGCATCCAGCAGGCGGTGAATGTGCTTCAGCCAAAGATGGCTCGGGGCAGTCCCGCACAGCACAGGCCGCAATACACAGTACAAGGCACAGGATCCCACCTGCGCCTTCTGCTCAAAGTTGTCGCAGACGGCCTTGTCAAAGCCGGCCTTGAACTCCGCGGCGTCCGCTGTGGCCTTGTCCAGCTGCGAGGCAAAACGGCAATAAAGATTGAAGGGAGAACGAGGAGTTCTGAGAACAGGTCCACGAGCAGCGAATGACCAGCACAAGTCAAACACTGGTCAACAGCTGCTGTGAATGACTGTCAATGCAAACACTGGTCAACAGCTCCTGCGAATACCGTCAAGTCAAACACTGGTCAATAGCTGCTGCAAGCTAAAGAACAGCAAAATTTGTGTGGCTGATGCAATGCCATGCCGCACCTGCGACTTCTGCTCAAAGTTGTCGTAGACCGCCTTGTCAAAGCCGGCCTTGAACTCGGCAGCATCAGCGGTGGCCTTGTCCAGCTGCGCAAGATTAGATGAGGCATGAGCGGCCCGGCGGTGAGGGGGCCCGGTTGCGAAAGGGGCAGGTGAGCACTACAACCCACGTGCCACACAACATGGACAAGCAGCAAGCCCCATGCATGGCAGGGTACGTGTACCTGCGTGAGCGTGGGTGCAGCTGCTACCCGGCCAATCCAATACAAAACAAGCATGGCAAGATCACGTCCCAGCAACCCGCCGCCAAACCCCATGCACTCCTTGTCTTGTACCTGCGACTTCTGCTCGTAGCTGTCATACACAGCCTTGTCGAAGCCGGCCTTGAACTCCGCTGCATCGGCGGTTGCCTTGTCCAGCTGCAGAACGAGGTGGGAGGCAGAGGGAGAAACAATTCAGCCGCCGTGCGTGTGTAAAGCGCGACCTGCGCCTGCAGCATCGGGGGCGCATCACATTCAACTGCGAGGGGCATGCCAGAGCACATGCACAGCAGTTTGCACCGCACTGCGCCTTGACCCCACCTGCGCCTTCTGCTCGAAGTTGTCGTACAGCGCCTTGGCAAAGCCGGCCTTGAACTCGGCCGCGTCAGCGGTGGCCTTGTCCAGCTGCGCGCGCATCAAGATAGCAGGTCAGTTCACGGCAGTCGTGCACACGAACGCACGCGGTTGCTGGCGGGTTTGCACCGCTGCCTGCTCCTCTTCCTCCTCATCCTCAGCCCGCGACCACAGGGACGATCTCTGCCGCAACCACGCACCTGCGCCTTCTGCTCGAATCCGTCGTACATTGCCTTGTCGAAGCCGGCCTTGAACTCTGCCGCGTCAGCGGTGGCCTTGTCGAGCTGCGTTGTGCCGTGAGATGCATGGCCTGTCAGGTCTCAAGGGTTGAGTTTGCATACAGTGTGCAGGCCCGCCGCATGCACAAACGTGGTTCGCGCTTCACGACGGATCCTGCAAACCGCAATACGGTATCCCTAAGACACCCCACCTGCGCCTTCTGCTCGAAGTTGTCGTAGACGGCTTTGTCAAAGCCGGCCTTGAACTCGGCCGCGTCAGCTGTGGCCTTGTCCAGCTGCGAGTGGCCGTGCAATGCAGGTAGGCGTCGTGAGCAAGTCGAAGCCATGCAGGTGGGTTCCAAAAGTGCAGGGGAAGGGTGGGCTGCACACAAACAGAAGGTTCACATGCCATGTTGGCGGGCGACACCAACCTGCGCCCTGTGCTCCACTGCATCCACCACCATCTTGTCGTAGCCGGCCTTGAGCTCGGTTGCGTCTGCGGTGGCCTTGTCAAACTGCAGGGGCGGGGCGGCAGGCGAGGGGGCGTCGGCCTGCTCATCGTCCTTGATTGGGTTGACCAACGGGCAAGCAAGCAGGCCGTATGATAATGTGTTGTCTCGCAGGGGTGCAAGCACACAGCCCAAAGCACACCTGCGCCTTCTGCTCGAAGTTGTCGTAGACTGCCTTGTCAAAGCCGGCCTTGAACTCGGCCGCGTCAGCAGTGGCCTTGTCCAGCTGTGAAAGGTGCAGCAGGGACGGGATCCGCTGTCAGCATCACCTAGGGTCTGTCAGCAGATTTCTAGATTTGCTTGTGGAGATTCCTCTTCATTTGGATTCTGGCAGCTGATTGAGAAGAGCACGGGGGTGATGGGACAGGCAACCATTTTTGATTGCTGCTGCAGCTGTATCGGGCTGCTTTAGACTGGTGCTAATCCTGCAGCGCCAACCTTCAACATTGAGTCTCACCTGCGCTTTCTGCTCGACCGCGTCCACCACCAGCTTGTCAAAGCCGGCCTTGAACTCTGCTGCATCCGCAGTGGCCTTGTCAAACTGCAGGGGTGGCAGAGGGGCGAATGCCGTTATACGACAACTGGCTAAGGAGGAGCCAGGCAAGCGCAGACCGCTGGGCTCGCCCTCTGTGCAGGGCGCGTCAAAAAAGCAGCCCCCACCTGCGCCTTCTGCTCAAAGTTGTCGTAGACTGCTTTGTCGAACCCGGCCTTGTACTCCGCCGCATCGGCGGTGGCCTTGTCCAGCTGCATTGAGAGAGGTGAAGGGGATGTTCAGCGCATGCCGGTGCCGCAACCGAGGAGAATTGTAGAAGTGCACAGCTGCACTTGCCGCCCATGCTGCTAATCAACCTTCGCAGCGTCCTCGAAGCCCGAGGTCCCACCTGCGCCCTGTGCTCCACTGCATCCACCACCATCTTGTCATAGCCGGCCTTGAACTCCGCCGCGTCAGCGGTGGCCTTGTCAAACTGCAGGGGTGGGACACAAGGAGAGCGCCAGCCACCAGCGTCAAAAAGTAGCACTGCCACATGCACGCATGCTACAAAAAGTGAATTTCCACAGGCCATGCGCCTTGCAAAACCGGCGCGTCTCGTTGGCCGCGGCCCCCACCTGTGCCTTCTGCTCAAAGTTGTCATGGACAGCCTTGTCAAAGCCGGCCTTGAACTCGGCCGCGTCAGCAGTGGCCTTGTCGAGCTGAAGTTGCGGAGGCAAACATTGCCGCAGCTTGTTGATGGCGCGACAAATGTGTGGATAAACGCATGGCGAGCGACGGACACCCGGCAGGCCGGCAGCACGCAATGTTACGCACCTGCGCCTTCTGCTCGAAGCCGTCGTGGACAGCCTTGTCGAAGCCGGCCTTGAACTCCGCCGCATCAGCGGTGGCCTTCTCCAGCTGCGTTGCAAGCAGCGGGCGGCGCATGCGCAGCGGCCACGATTAAGGGAGGAGACAAGACCAGGACGGATTTTGAGCAGCAAAAGCTGCCGTTGCTGATGCAACAAGTGCTGCCCGGCCGGCGAGGCGGCTGTCCCGCAATATCAAGGACCCCACCTGTGCCTTTTGCTCCACCGCGTCCACCACAAGCTTATCATAGTCCGCCTTGAGCTCGGTCGCGTCCGCGGCGGCCTTGTCAAACTGTGAGTCCAGCGTGCAGGGTTCAGGGTGAAGGGTTGAACCCTCAGCCCTAAGCCCTAAACCCTAGGCAGGATGGATCACCGCACCTTTGAAAAGAGGGGGCAAGGCATGACAAGCCGCGCAACGGCCCCGCGACAGTGAAAAGCGCCGCCCAATGCCGCAGCCCCCACCTGCGCCTTCTGCTCAAAGTTGTCGTAGACTGCCTTGTCGAAGCCGGCCTTGAACTCAGCGGCGTCAGCGGTCGCCTTGTCCAGCTGTGAAAGGCGCAGCAGGGATGGAATCTGAGGTCAGCAGCGGTCGCAACCGAGCAACGCGCGGGCATGACAGAACATGCAGCCATGATTTGGTTGCAGTTACATCTGCACCGAGCTGCAGGTCTGCCGAGCTGCTGGTCTTACCTGCGCCTTCTGCTCGACTGCGTCCACAACCATCTTGTCATAGCCGGCCTTGAACTCTGCCGCATCCGCGGTGGCTTTGTCAAACTGCAGGGGTGGGACGGCAGGGGGGGACCAGCCGCGGTGAGACGACTGGCCGAGTGAGCAGCACGCAAGCAGGATTCAGCCGGACCTCGACTTGACGCGCTGCGCCCCTTCTGGCAGCCCACACCTGCGCCTTCTGCTCAAAGTTGTCGTAGACTGCCTTGTCGTAGCCGGCCTTGTACTCGGCTGCGTCGGCGGTGGCCTTGTCCAGCTGCAAAGTGCAAAGGCAGTCAAAGCAGGAGGAGTCGAGGATTGACTATCAGCCAAAACATGCCCATGACATGGTCAACCCCGCATGATCAGCTTAATGAGGCATTCGTGCTGCCCGGTGCCCCCACCTGCGCCTTCTGCTCGAAATTGTCGTAGACTGCTTTGTCGAAGCCGGCCTTGGACTCAGCCGCGTCGGCGGTAGCCTTCGCCAGCTGTACAGGTTTCAATCACAGAGCCGTTTATGGGTGTTTAGTCAGCAACAACAGCAGGAAAGCAGGGGCGTGTGCACACACAGAGGGCAAGCATCGAGCAGCCGCACAACTTGCAAGTCGATAACGAGTCACGAGGGAACCGGTGCACCAACCTGCGCCCTGTGCTCGACCGCATCCACCACCATCTTGTCATAGCCGGCCTTGAGGTCCAGCGCGTCGGCGGCGGCCTTGTCAAACTGCAGTCGGGGGACGGCAGGTGGGGGTTGCGGCCGAGGAAGTGCAACGGGCAGAAGGACGAAGCCCGTCACCACGGCAAGCTGGTAGCAGACAAAGCGGGCAGGCTGTGTGGAAGCCTGGCCAGCCAGGAGTCTGGAGGCGTGCGGGACCCCAGACGGGAAAGCAGGAAGGCAAGTGGGAGTGGGTGGTGGCGGTGGTAAAGTTCACGGGGCGCCCAAACCAATGCGCCGCGTATGAGAAGGCAGAACCGAGCGAATGTGGCAGAGGCGCATCGCCAGGTGCCGACGCGCACGCACGCACGCACACACACACACACACACACAAACACACACAAACACACACAAACACACACAACACACACAACAACACACACACACCTGTGCCTTCTGCTCGAAGTTGTCGTACACCGCCTTGTCGTAGCCGGCCTTGAACTCGGCCGCGTCAGCGGTGGCCTTGTCCAGCTGCGGGTCGCATGCGGGGGGCAACAGGATGCGCTGCTCGGTCAAACGCTGACGCTGTGCGCCAGGGACGCCGGAGACGTGCTGCGGCGGCGAAATCCAGCGCGTCCGGCGCGGCAGCGCACTAGGCTGATCACATGGACGTGCACAATCCGGTGCGACCTCAGACACGCGGGTTCAGGCCTGACACTATTGAATAAACGGGAAAGGAGTTTCACCTGAGCCTTCTGCTCGTAGTTATCAAGGACGAGCTTGTCGTAGTCAGCCTTGACCTCCGCCGCATCCACAGCCGCCTTGTCAAACTGCAGCGCGGACCAACGGAGGACGTCGCATATGGAGCGGGCCGCCGAGCCTTCACGGCAGGCCCTTATCATACAATACTTGAATGATGTTGGATCTGGCTGGCGCGGCGGCAGAGCAGCCCTGGGCAAAAAGCCGATTTGT